TTTTTTTTTTTTTTTTTTTTTTTTTTTTTTACAAAAGAAAACTCTGCTCATTTGATTGCTCATGAAAGAGGGGAGGCCCGGGAATCCCTCCAACAAAAACTAGACGAGTTTTCAATTTTGTTTTGCTGCTTTCTCCTTATTTTGCTGGTTTTGTTTCAATGTGCCCAGTCTTGTCACGCTGCATAACATTGTGGCATGCTGGCGTGGACTCCGATGTTGTCTTCTTTCGTTTTCCTCCTTGGCCTACTCCTTGATTGTCGTTGCCATCTTCTTTGTCGTCATCCGTGGCTGTGGTTTGCCGCGGCAAGTGCATCCTTTTGCAATACGTAGGAATCATGTGGATGGGATTAAAAAAAAAAAGAAAAAGAAAATTTAGAAAAAGCGCTGATATACCCCCCAACATCCAGAGACATCAGGGACAAAGTTGTGAACAATAAAAACTTAAAAAAAGGCAAAACGAAAAAGGGCCGGTGATCAACACGTTGGGTGCACGAATCAGCCACTTTGTTGTACTCTCCCTTGATTGGATCAAGTTGATAGTCATACATGTCTATCACTTGTATCCAGCGCTTGAGTGCGTCGGAGAGTACTGGCTGAGTCTTGATCCAGCGCAAGGTCTCATGGTCAGATCTCACATAGAAGAATCTGCCAAGGAGATAGTGTCTCCAGTGCACCAGCGCTCTATATAGGGCGTAGAGCTCGCGCTCATAAGTGGACTTAGCTAGTTTTTGGGATGGCATCTTTTTGCTCATATACTCGATAGGTCTCAACTTGGGCCCCTCCTTTTGCGCAAGGACCGCGCCTATGCCATATTGGCTGGCGTCTGTGGTCACGACAAATGGCTTATCAGGATCGGGAAGTTTAAGAACCTCATAGTGTGTTAGGGCATACTTCAGTTTCCTGAAGACCGCCTCACACTCTTCAGTCCACTCCCAAGGGGTGTCCAGTCGAGTTAGATCCGTCAATGGGGAAGCTATGGTACTATAGTTCTTCACAAACGGACGATAGTAGCCCGTCATCCCCAAAAACAATCTGACCTCAGTAACAGTCTAAGGTCTGGGCGAGTCACGTATGCTGGCCACCTTGGCATCATCCGGCCTCAGTCCATCTGCTGAGATTTCATGACCCAAGTACAAGATCTTGGTGCGACCAAACTCGCATTTCTCCAAGTTAACCTTGTACTGGTGCTGTCTTAGGAGACCTAGCACTGTTTTCAAGTGCTCAGTGTGCTCCTCTATAGTCCTACTAAAGATGAGAATATCGTCGAGGTACACGACGATAAACTTGTCTAAGTAGTCGTGAAAAATCCTGTTCATCGCGTGCTGGAACGTACCAGGTGCATTGCATAGTCCAAAGGGCATCACCACAAACTCGTACAGACCGTACCTGGTCTGAAATGCGGTTTTGTGCCGATCCTCAGGCCTAATAGCAATTTGATGGTATCCGGACTTAAGGTCTATCTTGGTGAAGTACCGACATCCCTGCACTCTATCCAAGAGGTCGTCGATGCGGGGTAGGGGCTCCGCGTTCTTAACGGTGATGACATTGAGGCCCCTATAGTCAATGCACATCCTCAAGGTACCTCCCTTCTTCGGTACGAATAAGACTGGAGCGCCGTAAGGGGAGGTACTAGGCCGAATCCATCCCTTCTCTGTGAGCTCCTTGAGCTGGCGGCGAAGCTCATCTAACTCCGCATGAGACATCCTATAGATTCGTCCTTTAGGTACCTAACTACCTGGGACAACCTCTATTGCATGGACAACCTCCCTTTCTACCACGCCTGTGGGCTCCTCAAAAAGGTATGAATACTGAGGGACGACTGATTCTATCTCTGGGGGTGTTTTTACGGCCTCCCCTTTCTCAGAGACAAATACTAGATACATGCCCTCCTCGCGATTCTGCTTATAATAGTTATAGAAGGATGATGCACACATGCACCCGTAGTTTTCTATTAGACTGCTAGCTTTGTACTTTTGCAATCTAACAGATCTACCGTTGGGCAATTTGTGAATCAATACCTTTCTATCCCAGTCAAACTGCGATTGCGCGACCTCGAGGTAGTACATACCTATGAGCATATCAAAGGGCAGTTTGTCGCTAACGAGGAAGGAGATCTTATGGCTCACTTCCCCTCCTCCATAGGAGAAGGTACAGACTGCGTCCTTGACATAGTCTTTTACCAACGTTTGGTGCTTGTTGGCCAGCGTAGAAGCTACAGTTCTGCTAAGCCGCTGCACTCGGTCCCCTAAGCGCAGTCTATCCACACAAGCACGACTGATGAAGTTTCGCGTAGAGCCTTATGTCTGCGAAGGCGCCCACTTTACGGTCACCTACATCAACCTCTACCACGAAGTGTTCACCTTTTGGACCTCTACTTGTCATCGCCCAAGAGTCCCTGGGGTCCTTCCCTGACCACTCAGTCTCTAACTCTTCTAGGGCCTCAGACACATCTCAYGAATAGAGCGTCGGTGGGTCTGAATGTGTTTGCGGGGCGATACGTGGGTCTCTAGCCTTGGCCAACGCCTGAAGTGGGGAAGGCAACGTTACCACTTCAGCGCGAGTAAGAGCGACTAATACTCCTACTGGCCCGAGGTGTTTCCCTGCGAAGTGCTGGCAGAAGCGCCGCCAGAGTTCGAAGAAAGTCTCACCACCGTTGGTGAGGCTACCCTCGTCAAGACTTTCTTGCCTCGACATGTTCTAGACGTGTGGCCATAGTTGCCACAGTTCATGCACGTGCCCCTAGCAACTCGGTCTCTCCACACCTCGTACTCTAAACCAAGCTTTACCCAGGCAGGTGTGCCTTGGTCGCCCTGACCCGTCGACCGTACTACCTTCTTTTTCCCGGTCCCCCTAGCCTTTTCCTTAATGGGTGCCACGACTCCCCCATCCGAAGTCTCACTAGCCCCATAATGCTTTGTCTCCTCCCCAAGGTCTGGGAAGTCGTCAATTTATGTCGCCTGGCCATCATGGTCGACGAACATTAGTTGACCTTTATTTTTCCAGTCCTGGGGTAGTCTCTTTTTCCTACCATCGCCTTGACTCTGATGCGCAGACCCCAACTTAGCCTCTATGTCTAAGGCTTTCTTGCTGAAGGAGGGGAAGGTGTGTTGTTCGACATAGGCCTCATCAACCAGCTTGTTCCTTACCTCCGCAGGTAGGCACCTTAGGTAATCCGTCAGGAGAACCTGCTGGTCAAAATGCACACCAGGTACCACGAGTAAACGTTCTACGGTGTCCGTTAGCTCTCTAACATTCTTGAACCTGCGGGAACAAAGACTGTTGATAGCATCGGTGGCCTTCTGAGCCCCTTGCGGGTCATGCCACTTGTTATACACGGACCGTACGAACTCTTCCAATGTCTGGGCCTATGCCCAGGCATCGAAGTTTTGACCGTAGCCCTGCTGTTGCACTAAGCCATTCAACCAGCGGGCTGCTGACCCCTCTGAAAAGGAGGCAGCCACTGCAACTTCTTGCTCTGGCCTGGTGAGCTTGTGCCTCACATAAGTAGGCACAGTCCTCACCTAGGTGTCTAAGTCCTCATCCTTCTTCCTATCACCAGAGAAGGGCTTAGGACTCATTAGGGGTATCTTGGGCATCCACTGCATCGGTTGCATAGGCTGCATGGGCCCAGGGGCTTGCTGCAGCGGCTGCATAGCCACTGAAACAGGTTGTTGCATGCTAACCTGGGCCTGGCTTGACAGTGGGACTGTAGTGACCACTGTCGTAGATGGTACGACTGAGACTCTATGAACCGGACCACTAGTTGCTACTAAACCACCTGGAGGGGGCATGCCAAACATAGGAGAGAAAGTTGGACCTGTGTGTTGCGGCATCGATGAAGGACCCGCACCCGCAGGGGGAACTACAACAAACTGTGGCTGCCTCATCATAGTACGAGGAGCCCGAAGTTCAACCGGGATTTGTTTCTGGCCTACTACCAATTCGGCCAGCAATTCCTGCTGGACATCTTGCGCTTCTGCCACTGATAGTAAAGCATTACGCAGCACACGGACAACAGGGTCTAATGCCGCCTCATCTAGTCCTTCCAGTCTGCCTAGCTCCTCTCTTCTACTACCTAGTCTAGCTTTTCTCAAGATTGCTTCCCTTCTCCTCTCTGCTGCCTCGTCCAATTGCCGCTGTAGCTCATCCTGAAGTTCTTCTGCTTGGAGGATTTCATAATCCTACGCCATGAGTTGAGTCTGCCGGCCGACTCGCAAGCTAGCAGTCTGACTAGTGGACCCCGGAGAACCACTCTGACTGACTCCTGACGAAGTGGACTGTGAAGAGGTTTGCAACATGGTAGATGAAGTAGCCATGGCTGCACCGGTGCTAGCTGAAATTCTAGTCCTGGCACTATCCTCAGCTGCCCTCACTCTCCTTGCCGCTACTCTCTCTCTAGCCTCTCTCCTCAATCTTCTCTCGTCTCCTGGACCTAACTCCAAGAATGTCAAGGGTCGACTACGAGCAGTCCCACGAGTAGTCCTACGGTCGTCCACTAACAACTCCTCCTCACTAGTGCTTGCATCACTCATGAGCTACAATGTGTGTGATCTAAACTAGAATCCACACTGAATCCTACCTTAGCCTGACACACAACCGATAATGAATCGCAACTAATTTCGGTCGGATGGAAACAGAAACAGTTAGGTGATGTAGTAAACGACTAATGTCAGATCCTACAGGAAATATCAGATCTATTTTTAGATTACCCTAGAACAGACTGCAATACAACAAAGATCTAATCTGTCTGCAACTGTCTGTCAGTTGTTAGTCAAGTCCGTAACAACTAGATAATCAAAATAAAAATAATCTCTCTTGTTGGAGATGTATGCTTGATGGTAGATTGTCTGTTGATTGCCACTGTGAACAGTTACCGGAATCCTCCCTCCCCCTGTGTCCTCCTTGATTGGTCGCTTTGTGTCAACGTCCTGAGCATCTGGTTGAGCAGCGTGTCTGAAGGTGTGCAATCCGGCCCACCCCTGTGCCCCAAGTCAAACCACCCCTGCAACTTTTACTACGATATCGGGCCTCGCCACACCACTCTCGAAATGTGAAAAAGACAAAAATGTGGTGGCTGCATCTGTCGGATTCTGGCCATGTTCTAGCGCGAAGTTCATTCTCTTTTGCACATTTCGAGGGTGGTGTGGCGTTGCCCATCCTCTCAGGAGTCAGAATGCCAACGACGACTTAGTGGACTGCCAGCATTAGGAACTAAGTGAATTACAAATACGAGCTAGAGTGACCGATTTGTTTCCTCCCCCCCCCCCCCCCCCCCCCCCCCCCCCCCCCCCCCCCCCCCCAAAAAACGTACAGTCAACTGGTCTGCTAGGGGAGCTGATACAGGCAGGCACCCCTAGCAGGCCTGTGGCTGGCTCCAATCTATTTATTTTCCCTGAGACACCGTTTTGCAACTTGGGTTTCAATTTTCAAAAGTTCTTCACATTGCAACAACACCTCTATCTAATTTACCATATTATTACCCTAAAAGGCCCAAATAATAGTTCCAAACTGTGTGCCACCCCCTCCCTCCTCCCCCCCCCCAAAAAAAAAACAAAAAAAAACATGCACCTATATTTCAATTTCAACCTTACCATTATATCCTCATGGTGAACTCTGCTGTGCCAATGACTTCCCAGGGCTGTTTTCTGACATCCACCGTCGATCCTGGCGCCGATCAATGTGGGACAGCCAAAATGCTTGCGAGCCACGTCCACAACCTGAGCACCACAGTAGAATGAGAACAATGACAAAGAAAGAACAACTTTGCAAAGTTTTTTCGACTCTTTTTTTGTTTTTGAAAAAAAAAAGAAAGTACCCTATATTCTTCTCTCATTGCACCTCCCACTACCTACCTGCCTATATATATGGGTATGGGTCTGCATTTGCCTAGTTTACTCCTTGGGCCACACTACCTACCCCCTCCGGGTTGAGCTTATCCCCTCAGGGTTGAACCTAACCCCTACCGGTAGTGTGGATGGAAGGGGTTGTGACTTTACGCCTACCCAGCCCACTCAGGGGGGGCGAGCCGACTATCTTAGGCAGTGAACCCGAAGTGCGACTCTTTAAAAAGAAAAAAGGAAGAAAAATCAGTGATCAGTGATCACTGTTTTAAGTTTTAACAGTTTTACTGCCGAACTCATGTGTTGTTTGCATCGTATCGGTCAGTGTGGCTTTCTTTTACTTTTGAATGCCTGCAAAGTACATCCATAAAAAAAATATATATATAGGAATTCGGCAGCATCGAAAAAAATAAAATAAAATCACCTACTGAGTCACTGCAGGTTTCTGAGATCGCAAGCCGTAAGATGCCTTACTTCTCACGAAAACATGTACACACATTCCCTGCTTCTCACGAAAACATATACACATTTCCCGCTGCTAATTGAGAATGTGATTACGACATACATCTGCCTCACTCAGAGTCTCAACATGGCGATGTCTTTCACTCGGTTCATTAATGTCATCGCAGTGGTGATGATGACGATGACGATGACGGCGACGATGGCATTTTCTCGTTCTCTTAAACGCACAGCAGTAACAGCACAGTGCCTATCTGGTATCATCGGGCTGAAACTCCTTTGTCACCAGATCAGAGTCAAACTTGACTCCAGATCAGCCGATTATTAGGAGAACAAGATCAAGCAGGGCATCATCATCATCGTATCGGTAGTATCAGTAGCATCATCACTGATTCATCAGCAAAGTTCATGAGGGATGCTGGGCCGGATTCCCAGTACGAACTGTTTTACCAACTCAACGATGTATCTCAGGGGACGCTGGACGCGATTTCCAGCAGGTGATCGCATTATTAAAAAAAAAAAAAAAAAAGAGCAAGCACGGCGCGAGTTCGGGGCTGGAGTTGGAGGACTTGAATGTGTCATGAATCCTTATGAGCCTAGTTCAACCATAATGGAAAACTCAAATTTGAGTCAATGCCATGAATCACAGATTCACAACTGAAGAACGACGTGGATGAGAGACGAAGACGATGAGGACGGAGAAGAAGACGAAGACGACGACGACGGAGAAGAAGACGAAGACGACGAAGACGACGACGACGACGACGACGAAGAAGAAGAAGAAGAAGAAGAAGAAGAAGAAGCACAGGAAAAAGAAAAAAGAAGCACAAAAGAAAAAATGCTCCAATGTTCTCTCTCTCCGCCATCAGGAGGCTGCACCATGACAGCCCATAGAATCCCCATTTTGATGCTTTGAATAAAAAACTATCTTAAAATTCAAACCCTGCTGTGAGTGGACACTGGACAGCCAGCAGGCAGGTGACAATGGAAGCAGCAAGGCAGAGCAGGCAGCAGTACAGCAGAGGGAGGTCCGGCAGGCGGGTAAGCAGCCAAGCGGGAAGGTGGGCAAGCGGGCAGGTGGGAAAACAAGCAGCAAATCCAAGCAGCAAGAAGATAAGTGCGCAAACAGCCAGTTCTGCCTACGGATACAGAAAAGAAAAGAAAAAGTGTGCAAGCAGCAAGGCAACACAACACAAGCAGTATGCAGCAAGGCAGCGACGCAACAGTGAAGCACAGAGCAGGAGGGCGGGCGAAGCAGGAAAGCGGGGCGGTGGGCAGGCAGCAAGGCAAGAACGCAGGTGAGCAGACAGACGAGCTGCAGGGTAAGTGATGCTGTGAAGTGGGGAGTTTCTTTTTTTTTTTTTTTTTTTTCCA